TCCACCTCCGGCCACCCGCCAGAGGCGCGCCCCCAGCGGCCAGGGCCGCGGGAAAGTCTGCGCGGCATGCTTCATTCACACATTCATTCATTTACTCATTCACTCATTCATCGCCGGGCCCCAGAGCAGCCTAGGAGAAGGTGGCTGCACCGCCCTGCAGCAGCTGCTGGGGCACTCCCACCCGGGCCTCAGAGGTCCCTGTGGTCCACACTTGTCCCGGCAGTTACCACGTGTTACAATTTTTGGTTCAGGAAATAGAGTCACTGTTACTCTGGGGAGGTACAAAAGAAAGAAATGATGTTGTCTCTGCCCCCAAGCGCATCACTAGGGAGAAAGGACTGTCTCATAAAAAGGAAACTTAATCAAATGCTAAATTGGGCGATGTGGGCTATAAATTAACCAGAGCTATCCCCATAGGCTCCGTGAGAAAGGCAGCACTTCCAGGGCGGGTAGGATGGGCCCTGAGAAAGGGACACCTTAGGAAGGTGCAAGCGGTAGAGACGGAGAAGCCCGTGGTGGGAGGTTGTCCTGGGAGCCAGTGCGGCAGCGTGCATCACCTTGTCTGAGGGTTTGCTGTTTCAGTAAGCATTGTTTGGGGCATGATGAGCCTCTAAACTTCCATTTAAAGTGTCAGGAGAGAGAGTACAATTTCCCCTGGTCTGGGTAGAAGCCTGAGACTTACAGGACAGGCAGGAGCTTGCAGGCTCCCATGCAGCAGACTCTGAAAGTGCAGGCTCTCATGGGGAAGGCGAGATTGTCCAGGAAGCTGGAACCCGCAGCATCTCTCTTTACTCTTCTTGTTCTTCTTTACCTGGACTCGCCTGGGGACCAGGGATGGGACAGAAGGAAAAGTTATTAACCCACATCAGGAATTCCTGAGTGTGATATCTCTTTCCCTTCTACTTGACAAGGTGTGTGTGCAACTTCTCAGATGCAAACCAGGGCAAATACCAAGTTCATCAGGGCAGCCCTTCCCACAGAAGCCCAGGGAGGCCTGCAGGCTGTTCACACAGTCAGGTGGCCCCTCCTCCTGTTCCTCTGACATTGACATCTCAACACACTCCCCGCCCCCTCTCCCTAACACAGACATACAGAAATGCCAAGCAAATCCAGGCCCGGTTGCGCCCTGCACACACCCAAAGGCTCTTTTGTTTCTTCCCTCCCATTGACGTCAATGGGGAGCTCCATTGTTCTGGAAACAAGAGTAAACAGCTCATCCACACCTTACTGAGATTTTTCTTCAGGCTTTTGCTGGGTCTTGCTCCATATTCACCCTGCTACCTGATGTCACATTTCCTCCCTAAATGTAGCCTTTTTTTATTTCCACGAATAAATCTGGTAGAAAGACACTGAAATCTATTCTTTTAGAAATTATCAAGTGCTTTGGGCTCTAGGACTCTTCAGAATCTCATCTATTTTCAGTTATTCACAGCCAGTTTCTTCTTTCCTATTATTGGAAATTTTTGTACACTCCACAAATACTCGTTGACACCTGAGAATTGAGGGGCATGCAAAAATACGTGTCACTGTATCCCTGCTTGTAAGGAGTTTGTGATGCAGAAGAGGGGAGGAGGCAGATTCAGAGGCAATTTTGTCTAAGATGTGGTGTAGGTCCTGAGGGAATAGGACAGCGATGGACAGATGCCTCCATCCCAGCTCCAACAGAGGACAGCGCTCAGGGGATGAGCTCCTACAATCAGGCCAAGTGCATGGATACCATTCTTGCTGAACCAAGATGGTGACAGAGAGGGGGGGAGAGAGAGAGAGAGAGAGCGCGAGCGCAAATTTGGGCAGTCAGATTGGAGAAGGAAGGGGGATGAACCCTTTCCTAGCCAGCCCACACCGGCCAGCTATCACCTCCAGCACAGAGCTCAGAACTCTTGTATAGGAGAATTGCTGTTGGCACTGTGGGAGGCAGGCTGGCTAGGAGAAAACTAGTCCTTTATTTGGGGGTGGAGGTGAGGTGGTAAGCCAGGGTCCCCAGCTACCTTGGGAATGCTACCAGTGGGAGGAGCTGGCCTCCCAGCTAAAGGCTGCTTGGCCCCTGCCCCACCCACTCCCACCAGCCTGTTTCCACCAGTAAGCCTGGCCCAAGTTGGCCCTGCCCATCTATGTCTGGGCCTGCCTGTAGGGCTTCTCTGCACCCAGTCTTCCATGCCCTTGCCAGTCCACTCACTGGCCCTCTCATTCGCTCAAGCACCCAGCCAATTGTTTACTGAGCAACTACTGTGTACCAGGCACTGTGCTGGTCACTGCTTCCTCTCACTGTGGGTGGCATGGTTTGTGGGTTGGCTAGCTGGAGGGGCAAAGAACAGGCGGCTAGGAAGAGAATTTCCTCTGTAAATGGAGGAGGTGGTGGCCCCCAAAGTCCTCTCTAAAGAGATGGAGGGGACACTGTCAAGCTTTCTGGCCCTCTAGTGCTGGATCCCCTTTCTTGGGTTTAGGGACATTGGAGATGGTAATGCCCAACCCTTACTCTCCAGCCTCCCTTGAACCCAGCGCTGACCTACAGCTGACCCTAGCTTGGCATGGTGGCAGCTCCTGGCAGGGAGACCCGGCTCACAGAGGTGACCTCAAGGGAGTGGGCACCTGTGTCCAGGGTCTCAGGGTGAGACAAGGACTACTTGCCTCTAGTGACCCGAGAGCAGGTGCCTATCCCTGGACATGAGGTGGTTTGTGGACCAATATAAAGAAGTATCTTCCAGCTCTTTGGGAGGCCAAGGTGGGAGGATTTCTTGAACCCAGGAGTTTGAGAACAGCCTGGGCAACATAGTGAGACCCTGTCTCTACAAAAAATAAGAAAGCCAGGCATGATGGCATGCTCCTGTGGTCCCAGCCACTTGGGAGGCTGAGGCAGGAGGATCCCTTGAGCCCAGGAGTTTGAGGTTGAAGTGAACTGTGATTGCGTCACTGCACTCCAGCCTGGGCAACAGAGCAAGAGTGAGACCCTGTCTTTTAAAAAAAAGAAGAAGGCATCTTTATTATGCTAGCTACCTACTGAGAAGGCTTTTTGATTTTTAAACTAAATATAGATCCAGGGAGGCTGTTCTTTGTTTGGGAGACATGTGGGTGTGGTGTGCTCATATGTCTTCCCCAAGGAAGTCACAAGATTGAGCCATCCACGATGGATGTGTAGTCCCCATCTTTCTTCACCTTGCCCTGGAGAAGAGCCCGGGGAAAGGAGCTTGCTTGGAGCCTGGAACGTTAGCATCCTTGTCCCAATGACTCCTTTGCAAAGGATGCCCTAGAGATCACAGGGCTGGTGGCACAAGCTAAGACCTGCATTTGATGTGGGATAGAATGGTGAGAGTGGGTATCCTTGCCCCGTTCCACCCTGGGGGAGGAAGTGTTCAGTATTTCACCACCAGGTATGATGAGCCTTAGATGTTTGTTTTTTTATGGATGTCCATTGCCATACGTTCTAATTTGCTAAGACTTTTATTTGTTTTTCTTTTTTATAGATGTCCATTGCCATATATTCTAATTTGCTAAGATTTTTATTTGTTTTTCTTTTTCCTTTTTTTTTTTTTCCTTTTTTAAGACGGAGTCTCACTCTTTCACCCAGACTGGAGTGCAGTGGCATGATCTCAGCTCACTGCAACCTCTGCTTCCCGGGTTCAAGCTATTCTCCTGCCTCAGCCTCCTGAGTAGCTTGGATTACAGGCGCGCGTCACCACGCCCAGCTTTTTTGTGTGTGTTTTTAGCAGAGACAGGGTTTCACCATGTTGGTCAGGCTGGTCTCGAACTCCTGACCTCATGATCCACCCGCCTCAGCCCCCCAAAGTGCTGGGATTACAGGCATGAGACACCACTTCCAGCCTTGTTTTGCTTTTTTTTTTTTTTTCCCCAATCATACATAGGTGCAGTGGGCTTTTAATCCATGACAATAGTTATTACTTCAAAAATACCTCTCCCAAATACATCTAATCTCTTTTTTTTTTTTTTTGCAGATCTGCAAATAATTTAAATTGCCATAGCTTTGTCTCTGCTATACAATACTCTGTATAGATGTGTTTACTTTATTATTGTATCCTAAGACAAAAAATATAAATGAATAAAAGAATTTGTACCTGAAGATTCTGTCTTTTTAATGCTATACATGTCCTCTTTATTGCTACAGAATTCAGTGATTAAATGTGTACCCAACTGACTTCTCTTATTATCAGTTTTGCAAATAAAAGGCATGCTTTTAACCAAAGCCAAGAAACAATTTGCTATCATGTCACTTGAAAAAGGATTAAAACTTCAAACTTTCTGGTCACTAAGGCCATTAAGAAAAACCAAGGATTTGGGAGGCTGAGGCAGGCAGATCACCTGAGGTCAGGAGTTCGAGACCAGTCTGGCCAACATGGTGAAACTCCATCTCTACTAAAAATACAAAAATTAGCCAGGTGTGGTGGCACACATCTGTAATCCCAGCTACTCGGGAGGCTGAGGCAGGAGAATTGCTGGAACCCAGGAGGCAGAGGCTGCATGAGCCGAGATCATGCCACTGCACTTCTGCCTGGGTGACACGGCAAGACTCTGTCTCAAAAAAAAAAAAAAAGAAAGAAAAAGAAAAAAGAAAACGAAAAAGAAAAAAGAAAAGACAAAGAAAAAATAAAAAGTGAAACCAAGGATTTAACTGAGACGAAAGCTGTGCCGTTTGGTGGGGAGAGGGTAGCAGTGGGTAGGTGATGCTGTATGGCACTCCTGGTTTGAGTTGCAGGTCAAGTCTCTGCCTCAGGAACTTGTGGACTAATTTGTGGATCAGGTTTTCTGGTCTCAGGCAGCTTGAGTTTCTTTCCAGGGCTTCAGGGCAGCCAATACCCCTCACTGTCCTGAAGGAGCCCAAGGAGAGGCAACTTGCCAAAACGCCTGCCCTGTCTGAGCTGATCCCCCACACCCAAGGTGATGCCCCCTGTCTGAGGCGATACCCGTGTTCAAGGTGATCCCCCACGTCCGAGGCGCCTCTTCCTTCCCAGGTGGAGGGTCTCTTATCGGTCAGGCTGTCATCCTGCTGGCCTTCTGGGCCATGGACCTTGCCCAGGCAGGCCCCCGCATCAGGCTCCCTGGCTCTCTCCCTCTCTGTCTAGTGTGTGTCCTGCAGGGCTGTTGCCTCAGTGTGGTTCTGCCAGCATTCCTGGGGTGTCACTGAGGGGTAGCCCAGTTGGCGCCTCCAACCATGGACATCTTGGAGTCAGGAATGGGGGCCTTGCATGCTCTGGGGACCAACAAGGCCTGGTGTCATTAGGGCTCCTGATCCTGGGTGACACGAAGAAGAATGCAGAAGCCTGAGTTTGGGGCTTTGCATTCATACATGAGTATGGCCTTCGGGCCCCCCTGTGGCCTGTGAACAAGCTGTGAGGGAGCATGTGCTTGCTGTGTTGAGGCATCACGCTTGGCACTTGGCACACATTCTCTTCTTTAATCCTCACCACTCTATAGGACATGCGCCTGCGTTCCATTGATCCTTTGCAAAAGACATTCTCGATACCACGACACCAAAGGAATCCTGTGCGTCTGTGTTTTATGTTATCAAGGAGAAACTACCTTTGTCTGCAGAAAGATCTCATGGCCACCCTCACCACCCTGTCCTTATGGAGCCTGAGAACCAGCTGACTCAGCAGGGAAGGCCACAAAGTCAGGAGCGACCAAAGTCCAAGCTCCAACGTGCCTCCCATTCTCCAAATATCAAACATTCTCCCCACTCAAAAGCTCCTCTGTGACTTGGCGAATGCAGGTGCTCCCTGCATTCTATTAATGTAATTCCCCTCAGTCCATAAGGGCTCATAGGTGGGGATGGCTGGGGTGCAGGTCCGTCTTGGGGATCACCAGCCCACCAGTGATGCCAGTTCACAGTGCCCTCCTTGGGAGGGTGAAGACTCAGGCCTGTGCACCTGCCTCACCCTCTGCCTGCTTCTGTGGCTCACAGAGTGTTTCCTTTGGTGTCTGGGTGTTTGTTCTCTCCTGCTGTCTTCTCCCTGGTGCCCGACATGGAAAAAACATCTCTTGTCCCTAAACCGAATCTTGTTGGTAGGAAGCAACAAAGTTGTTGCTGCTGCTGCTGTTGTTGTTTCTCTCTTCTTCTCCTTCTTCCTTTTCTTCTTCTTCTTTCTTCTCCTCTTTTTTCTTCTTCTTTCTTCTCTCCTCCTCCTCCTTTCTTTCCTTCTCCTTCTTCTCCTCCTTCTCCTCCTCTTTCTTTTTCTTTTAGAGATAAGGTCTTGCTGGAGTGCATTGGTGTGATCATAGCTCAGTGAAGCCTCAAATCCCTGGCCTCAAATGGTCCCCCTGCCTCAGTCTCCCAAAGCCCTGGGATTACAGGCATGAGGCAGGCAAAGGGGTCTGACTGGGTTACCCTGAGGGTAGAGGCATCCTCTCGAGGGCTGGGTGATGGATTTCCTGGCTGAGGGCAGAGGCAGGAGCCCAGGTGACTCAGAGCTGTGACGGCAGTGACCGTGAGGCCTGACCTGTGGTGGTTCCATTGTGAAGAGCAGCTGGGAGTGAAGGCTGCCTGTGTACCCATCTTCTCAATCCTCCTCAACAGATGGAGTCCTGCGAGGAGGAGGAAGGGAAATTGGGAGATACCCTACCCACTGCCCAGGCCACCACTGAAGCTGGGGAGCTTTGTTACACCATGTGTAGGTGGACTGTTGGGATGCACAAAGGAAAACTGGGCTCCTTCTGGCCCTGCTGCCACCCACACCCGGGAAACTCTTTGAAAGTGCGGATGGTTGATTTGCACGATGAGGGGTGACATATGCTGCTGAATGAAGCAAATGATGAGTCGGGGGATCCACACAGCACCCCTGCTTCAGAGTCAGTCGTGTGCCCTCCTGCTGCAGAGTCAGTCGTGTGCCCTGTGACCATGGCCATGGGCAGACATTCCCGGGCACTTCTCGCAGTGGGTGCTTGATGACCACGGTGTGGCGGCCCCAGGGGGCGTTCCCTGAGACCTTGAGCATAAACCCAGGCATCCCCACCGAGGCTGCAGCCACTCTGGAAGAGCTTTCTGGGCTCATGTGGTTGATGAGAATGCAGAGAATCCCTGCCACACTCTGGACTCAGAAAATGCTGAACGGTTCATGGCAGGCAGGGCCCTCCTCATGGGCGGCATCTGCAGCTTGGTTCCTCCAGGCACTGCCGGGCTGCAGCAGTTTTTCCAGGCTGGTGCGTGCCTGGTCTCTAAGGAAGAGTCAGAAATAAAGAACTCCCAAAAGTGGTTCAGATCTCTACTTGAGACAGGAACGAGGAGCAAAGAACAGGGAGGACCTGAGGCTGCATGGCCCAGGCAGACCTCCCAGCACATCCACCCTGCACATCCACCCCACTCGCTCTGAAGCTGGCCAAACCCTAAACCAAAGAAGGCGAGAGGACCAGGAGAAATGACAAAGGAAAGGGGCTCTCGGGAGAAAAGGCATTGCGTGGAGAAGGTGCTAGAAGAATAGTGTGAAAACTGGAGAAGCTATCAAGAGGAGGAGCACAGGCAGGAGCACGGAGCCAGGAGTCCCCCAGGCAGGGAGCTTTGAGACCACAGCCTTGCATTGTCACCTCCTGGTCCACCTTGCAGGGCCTCTGAATCCTCTGAGAAGGGACTCGGGAGGTGAGATGAAGACACGATTCAAATGGGATTCCTAAAGAGCACTCTTGTAACGCTAGGTTCGCCTTGATCTGGGCTTCCCTACACACTGTTTGAGTCTTTCAAACCACAGGAAGATGAGGAATGGGACCCTGTTCCCCGAGTTCCCTGCAAGGCGGTGGCAGACTGTGTGCTCTGGACCACACATGCTGGAAACAGAAGGGGGCCCAGATAGTCTCGGGCTTGCTAGACAGGGTAGCCTGGGTGACTGTCACTGCTGGCCCAAGAAAGGCCACTGCTATAGGTGCTGCCAGGGCTCTTCCCAAAATTTTTCAGTGGTAGACAGGAGAGAGCCAGTGGATAATACTCTTACCCTTTGCTGTCTGTTGGGCCAAAATCCAAGGCATGATTTTCCACTGGGCCAGGGCATTGGCATTCATAAGCAGCATGTGGACATGCTGAGTGTCTGGCTTGCCTCGTGCGGCTCATCAGGAAGCAGTGGCCAGCATGGGGATGCCTCACCTTGCCTTTTCTTTTTTTTTTTTTGAGACGGAGTCTCGCTCTGTCGCCCAAGCTGGAGTGCAGTGGCCGGATCTCAGCTCACTGCAAGCTCCGCCGCCCGAGTTTATGCCATTCTCCTGCCTCAGCCTCCCGAGTAGCTGGGACTACAGGCGCCTGCTACCACGCCCAGCTAATTTTTTGTATTTTTAGTAGAGACGGGGTTTCACCATGTTAGCCAGGATGGCCTTGATCTCCTGACCTCGTGATCCGCCTGTCTTGTCCTCCCAAAGTGCTAGGATTACAGGCATGAGCCACCGTGCCCAGCCAAAGCTTTTGTTCTTAAGCCTGTTCCCTGGCTCTGTTTTCTAGGGAACCTAAACTAAGACAATGGATACTGAAAATGGTTTGACAAAGCACACCCTCACTCAAGGCTTCATGTTGGAATCGATCTTCCCACCTGTCTCAGAGTCAGAGTCTCCATACCTCTGGTAAGTGGGATTGTAATGACCAGGGGTCAGCGAACTATGGCCTGTTCTTCCATGGCTTGTGGACTAAAGGGAAAGGGAGGCAGAAAAGTCAGAGAATATGCTGCAGGTATCACACAAGGTCCACAAAGCCTGTATTACTTACTATCTGTCCTTTTACAGAAAAAGTTTGCTGACCGCCGGTGACCGCTCATCACACAGTGGCATTATGATTACTGGAGTTTTCACCTGTGGTCAGTTACGATGGAAGCAGCCAGAGAGCAAGGCACTGGGTGGTGCTTCCTGAGTGGGAGACAATGACAATGATAATAATTATGCAGAAGGGTGGTACCTTCATATGTTGGAGCTGAACACCTGGAAGAAAGGAAACGGTGGGCTTGGGAGAGTTCATTGCCAATCTAAGACAAATTTTGAAAGCCTAAGGGCCTCACTGGCAGCTCAGGAGATTTACATCTCCTACAGCCACTGGGTAGGAGAAATCACTGTTGAAAATCGGCCAGGCGCATGACTCACGCCTGTAATCCCAGCACTTTGGGAGGCCATGGCAGGGGGATTACCTAAGATCAGAAGTTCGAGACCAGCCTGGCCAACACAGTGAAAATTAAAAATTAACCATCTCCACTAAAAATACAAAAATTAGCAGGCATGGCGGCATGCACCTGTAATCCCAGCTACTCAGGAGGCTGAGGCAGGAGAATTGCTTGAACGTGGGAGGCAGAGTTTGCAGTGAGCCAAAAAGAAAAATGAAAATCAGATCTTGAGGCTGGGTGCAGTGGCTCATATCTGTAATCCCAGCACTTTGGGAGGCCGATGGGGGCAGATCACTTGAGGTCAGGAGTTCGAGACCAGCCTGGCCAACATGGCAAAATCCCCATCTCTACCAAAAATACAAAAGCGAGCCAGGCATGGCAGTGCGTGCTTGTAATCCCAGCTACTTGGGACGCTGAGGCAGGAGAACTACTTGAATCCAGGAGGCGGAGGTTGCAGTGAGTCGAGATCACGCCACTGCACTCCAGCCTGGGCAACAAAGCAAGACTCTGTCTCAAAAAAAAAAAAGAAAAAAAGAAAGATCTCAAATTTGATAAGGATTGAAAGCTACAAAGGAGACTAAAGTCATAGCCTTGACAGGCCTGCTACATCAGTCAGGAGCCAGATAGCGAATGGTCCTGAGACCATGGCTATGGACAATTGAGTAGATAAGCTGAGAATCTCAAACCCCCAAATTCTCAGAAGCCTTCAAGCCAACAGAAGCAATTACTTCCTCCTTGCCAAAGAACAGGTGTTTTTTTTTTTTTTTTTGAGACAGAGTCTCACTCTGTTGCCCAGGCTGGAGTGCAGTGGCACAATCTTGGCTCACTACAAGGTCCCCCTCCCGGGTTCATGCCATTCTCCTGCCTCAGCCTCCCGAGTAGCTGGGACTACAGGCGCCCACCACCACGCCAGGCTAATTTTTTGTATTTTTAGTAGAGATGGGGTTTCACCTTGTTAGCTAGGATGGTCTCGATCTCCTGACCTCGTGATCCGCCCACCTCAGCCTCCCAAAGTGCTGGGATTACAGGCGTGAGCCACCGTGCCCGGCCGAGAACAGGTTGTTCTTATGGAATATCTTACCTGTGGCAGGGGTCCTGCAAGGTGTTTGTTCTCAAGACCTGCCCTCACCACTGCTCCTTGATGCCAGGCCGACATCCAGGGTCAGGCTTCACCATAGCTAGAGCAGAGAGGCATATGCTCAGCTTTGGTCAGAACTGTCCTATTCTCCAAAGGAATTGCAGAGCTAACGTGTGCCAGCAGGATCTTAAGGAACACAGGTGACGCTGGTTCTTCCCAGTATGGTGGGGGAGGAGCATAACACTAGATCGGTGGCTGGAGAATAATTCGTTGGCACAGGGGCAGTCATCTGTGATTTGGAACTCGATGCTTTGGCAAGGACACCAGGAACTGATTCCAATCATTTGTTGGGCTGACTCCAGTGGTGTGCTAGTTAATGTTTAACAATTGGCTCTCTGGAAAAATAAAAAAATAAAAAAAAGAAAGAGGAAATATGTAGCATTTATCCATTTCTGTGATGCAGATATTCCTGCATGACCAATTTCAAGCTACCACCGTGACCTCCTGTGAAAGTGGTGATGCCATCTAAGGCCACATGCATGGAGAGAAGCCCACCCTGCTTGCCCTGGGTTCAGGCCAACATGGCCAACCTAAGCGATTCCTTAGAAAACAGAGTTTGGATCTGCCCAGTTACAAGGAGAAATGGACCTCCCAACGTTCAACATCTAGAAGACTATTTTTCTAAACTCTTTGTTAAAAGATTTTAAAAGGGGCTGTTCTTACCAAATCTCAATAAAGTGTCCATTGTAAGATATTTCTCAGGGTTATTAAGACCTATGGCTTCTTATAAACTCCTTTTGCTCTAAGGCAGTTCATGTTGGAAACCAGCCACAAAAATGATAATTTTGGATTTGTAATCATTGCTATCGAGACATTGTGTGTGGTAGGGACCGGCCTTTCTGTGTTAAGCCACTCCTCCTCTTTGTGGCCTTAAAATCTACCATCAATACAAAGGAGGCAGTTGTCTGCTGAGTGAGGGCCTGGCTAGGCCAGCGTAGCTCTCCCACATATTGATGTAAATCATTAGGGTTCCAGTGAAAGATGCAGGTTCTGTCTGAGTGAGGAGAGCCAGAAGTCCAGGCTGACCTCAGCATTTCAGTCCCCAACTTATTCCAACTCTTGGGGTCAAAGGCCAAGAGGAGGTCCCAGGAAATCTGGGAAGGGTTTGCACTGCTCCCGATTGTTTCCCGGATGCAGGAAGGGTGAGCGTTGTCAGCCATGGACTTGCTAGGCGTGAGACCCTGCTGATCTTCGTGCCTCATATTGGCCTGAGAAACCAAGATTTGCTATTTGGTTTGAAAAATATGAACGTACCGGCCGGGCACAGTGGCTCGCGCCTGTAATCCAACACTTTGAGAGGCTGAGGTGGGCGGATCACCTGGGGTCAGGAGTTCAAGACCAGCCTGGCTAACATGGTGAAACTCCATGTCTACTAAAAATACAAAAAATTAGCCAGGCGTGGTGGCATGCACCTGTAATCGCAGCTACTTGGGAGGCTGAGGCAGTAGAATCATTTGAACTTGGGAGGCGGAGGTTGCAGTGAGCCAAGGTTGTGTTATTGCACTGCAGCTTGGGCAATAACAACAAAACTCTGTCTCAAAAAAAAAAAAAA